AACTAAAAAAACTAAATGGCTGGACGTTTAGTTTTTTTAGTTTTTTTGAATAAAAAGAAACTAAAAAAACTAAAAAAAACTAAAAAAACTAAATGTCCAGGAGTCTAGCCCTGTAGTTTTACAAAGAAAACTAAAAAAAACTAAATGGCTGGACGTTTAGTTTCTGTGCGAACTGACACGCGCAACGAAATAAATGCGGAACGTCTCTCTAACATATATATATATATATACTCAACATCTCATCATATCACGTATTTGGAGGTGTCTATCCATGTCTATCCAGCTGCATCATGTCATGTCCTGGTGCAGTCAGCTCGATAGCAGGTGAGGATCTGTGTGTGCCCAAAATCGATTTAGATGATTGAGGATCAGGTGTCTGTATCTCCGTCAATTGGCAAATACATCTGCATGCAAATGGCCAACGTCTGTGAACATCCCGTTCCATGAATTCTCCTCATCCACCTTCGCCCGCCCAAATAAAAACAAACCCAAACCAACGCACCGGACGCACCGCAACAAACCTCCAACTGCTGAAGACACACATCCAGCAAATCACCTGAGGTTTCACCAAAGCCCTCCAAACAGCCTCTCCCTGACTCCAAATCGCCTCTTCTTCTTTCTTCGGAGGCGACCCTGTCTACGAACCGGAAACAAGCTGAGGAGTCTCCTGGGACTCCCCCTCTCCCCCCGTCTCTCCGCCTCCGCGATCCCGGAGACGAGCTCCGAATCCAAGGATTCCCGGAAGAGCGCCTCGGCTTGGCCAGCGGGGTGCCGCTCTCTCGAGGCCATGTGTATCGGCAGCTGGGTGGTTGGTACCCGAAATCGCAGCAGTTTTTGAGTCCAAATTCCACCACATCTCAGCGAAAGATGAGATTGCCTGCACGTGCTTGCACGTCAAACAGCCTGAGCTTAGCCCTCCTCTGCCTCAGCCCCAGCGATCAAACCTCGTCGCCAGGGCACCGGTAGCACAGATGAACCCACTTTCTCCAGCAGCCCAGCTCGTTCCAAAGGCCTTTGGAATCGTTCAGAAAACCACTCCGCGAGCGAAATCAAGACATCGTCCCATCGTCGTTCCAACGGTGGACTCGTTGGGACTCTTTGCGATCATTCATGTCTGGAGTGTTTAAGCTCCGATTTGACATGATTTGACCATCTATTTTACTCTGCCCCGTCTCTCTGTTGCCTGTGGTATTGAGCCAATCAAATGAGGATTTTAACCACCTAATCCATCCCGTCTCTATGTTGTCTGTGGCACCTGAACGACCCTACTTCGCAAAAACACCACGAGCTCCCGGCTTCCCGCGCAGGCGGTTCCACTGCGCCTCCGGCGGATAGCGAGGATCATTTGGGAATGATGAAAGCACCGACATCCTCTTCTTCGCATGCTCAGTGGGTTCTTGCCAAGCAAGAAAAGCCCAAAAACACCACCCTCAGTGCCATGTCAAGGTATGACTTTCTCTGACCTTTGTTCCCCCTTTCGCCTGAAACACAATGGACTCTGTGGACGCTCATCAGTCGACCATCACTTCGTGCCTCGAATTGGTAAAAGCTCATGGCTGCCCGGGCACCTCAACAAAAAGACAATCAGTTTGGGGCTGCTTTCACGGCTCAAGTGGAACAACCAGCACAACCTGGAGGTGGTGGACCCCATGCCCACCTGAACATGCTTTCAGGCTTCTCGGTGTGGAGTGAAACCACTAGTGAAACCCCCATGTCAAGGACCCTGTTGGGCAGTCATCCAACGTGTTCTGTTCTCAGTAGCCTGAAACTCGGGGTTCGATCAGCCTCCGGCCAATCTCATCAATCGTAATACTATAATCCATTGCCTGCTGAAGGATGAATTCTCCACCAGTGGGTATCTCTCACACACACACATCATTCATTACACCACTGACTTTGGCTTTTCGCGGGCCCCGACAAGGCGCTATACTTTGATAATCTGCGTACACGGGAGCGCCTTTAATCGAAGAATTTGGATGATTTCCTGTACCGCATGGCAGCCATGCTTGTTCACATCAACATGCCATCCTGCGGCCAATGCTAATCCCCCCGAAGAAAAGGACACAATGCGTGTCTCGTAGAAAATCTCTGAAGCTATGCCATGCAATGTAGAGCCTGCACATCTGGCTTCATCTCGAGTTTGCTGGATAAATTCCTTCTGATAGCTGCCCGAAACAGCCCCCGCACCTTGGCTTTGGGATGCCTGGCCAACACTCACTCAACACTCTTCTCCTAGCAGGTGAACACCCACAGACCACGCACAAGGACTATTCACAACAACATGTGAACGATCCATGGATCCTTCGACCCACTCACATGTTTGATGTGTTCACAGGCTCCTATCTCATCTTCCGCGTTTGATGATTACTTGAAATCGGTAAAGCAAGCTCGCTTGGCCTCCTGATTTAGTGGTGAACAAGTAGTACAAACGATCCTCCAACAATGAAGCCGTATATTTCTCCTTCTCTACGTCCCCTTTCCCCACTCCCCAGAACCTCCAGACACATCCCCAGAACCCCATCATCACACCTCAGGTCGACCACCACGGAGTCCTGCAAACAGATTCATCGACATGTCCAGTGATATGACTATAGTCGGTCACCGCCAAGGTTTCGCGCACGGTGTGGGGTCTATATTGGGTTTCGGAAAATGCGCTCCCACGTGGATGCCTCAAGGTGTTTAGAATCAGAGGGTGTTGATTCTGTCTTTGTCTGCCTTTATCCAGCACCCTTCATTTAAACATGTTGCCCGCTTGGTTGTGCGCACTGGATTCCACTGACTTACGGGGTCTCAGGACGGGGTCTCTGGATTCGGATGGGGTCTCTGGATTCCACCATCGATCCAACCAAAGACGTGCTCTGTTTGGCGTCGGTCCCCACTCACCCTGTATCACCCTGTACTTCTCGCCACGCAAACAGATCGGGGGTCCTTTTTTTCGGGCGGAAAGGACATCGAGTTGAGGCACACCGGTACACCCGATTAGCAACTATTGGACCGGTATTGTGATCCAACATACACATACAATCAAAAGGACAAATGATCTTCTCGCGGTACTGCGGTTGATCTATTGGGGGCCACTCCAAAAACTTCCCTGCTTCCACAGAGTTCATTAGCTTCGCTGCTCACAGGCTCAAAGTATCTCAAAGTCCATCACTGCCCCTCCCCAGCCTACACTTCGTGGCACATAGGCACGAGCTGCAGGTCCTCAGGTGGCTCAATCTGCTGCCCATGCACGGATGATGCAAAACACAAAGCTTGGTTGGTGGCAATGAGGCCATGTGTTCGTTGTCTTCATTGTTCGTTCAAGAACATCTCATCATGGCCACTTCCCAGAAACCCATTGAAACCCATTGAAAACTCCAATCCCAAGCAGACCGAAGCACAAACAGCGCGGACCGTGACGCATCTCGTCATCATCTTGGTCTCCCGACGAGACCGGGGCGCCGGCGACTCCGCGGGCGCGGGCGGAGCCTCTGGACCCGGTGCACCAGCACATGGAAGTGGACAACCCCCAGCTTGTAGGGAGAATGGTGGACTTTCCAGCATGTTCATCCATTTCCACTTCCATGAATGATGGTTGGAGGGAGGGTAGTAACTTTGAAGAAGTGGATTTCTTTTTAAGACTCACACTGGCAGGTTCCAAAAACAGTCACGGCTCCCTCCACTTGCCTCCGCTTCTTCCGGAGGCTTCCTCAGATCCTTCTCCTTGGATTGTGCCAAAAGAACAAATGCACTCAGCGACTTGCAGATCATCAGTAGAACCCCCAAACCTTCGAACAGAGTGCCATGCCCTGAAGGTTTCCTGTTGTATTCCCATGTTCTCTTGGAGCACCTGTCTTACCATGTGAAACACTTCATCCATGCGAAATCTCCCACCCTCACACAGTGTGCCATCCGCTCCTCGCGCTCCGCCGCTTCGACCCGCTCTGCACGGTCCACCTCCCCTCGCTGGACCTTCACCACCAACCTCGGAGAACTCGGAGCGGATCGTCCACTGCAACCCCAACAAGAACGCGAACAACTTGAGAATGATCAAGTGGTTTTGATGTGTCTGTGCATACAGTAATACTTGCTCGATTTTGCTGATATGCAAGCAAATTGCTGGGAAAAAGGAGAAGAGGCCATGGCAAATCATTTTACTTATATTTTATATATAGTATATATTGTATATTATATATTTGCATTGTTCATCATTGTTCAATGTGTAATGTTTGTTGGCCTGTTCTGTCAACTGTCAGGACGTTCAGGACCGAAAGTCCATAATTCAGCTGTGCATTGAACAAACACCAACCAAATCCAACACCAAACTCTCTCTGCAAGGTTTGAAATTTGCCCAGAACCACCAGGACAAATCAGCTGGAAATCACCTTTCTCATCCTTTCTCCTTTGCCCTGAGTCAACTGGGCCTTCAACATGAAACCATATCACACAACGGCTTGTACATCTTGCAATTACAAGATATTACAAGAGTCATTTTCGCAATTAACATATGGATGTCGTTTTTAAAAATGATCTTCGCATATTTTTGCTATCCAGAGGTACCCTGTCTACCAAGCAAAAACGCGGTTCCTATGAGATTCTGTTCTGGATCCATGCTGTCTCAAGCACATCTCCTTTCTGGATTCATCCCCAAATCCTTCACTGGAGCAGGAGTTCTTCAATCAACACCTTGTGCGGGTTGAGTTGGAGTGGTCCAACTTGAAACGCCACCTCTGGTGCTACCTCATCTCCTCCCACGGAAAACTTAGGATCCAAGCTTTCGCGTGGGCATCGTGGGGTCCCGCGTGGGGTCGCACATCACGCACTTCGCGTGGGCGCGCGCCTCCTGGACATCAACACAGGAACCGCTTCGATCGGAGGTGCGATTTTGGCGTTGGGAGGCGATTGAAAGACCCTCAAAAACTGGGAAACCAGAGAGGTCTGCCATGACTCTGCAGGTCGAAGGTGGCAGTTGTATTAAAGATGTTTGCGAGTTTCCCTCCAGAACCACATGACTGCAGGATTTTTGGACAGCGCCACGAAAAGCAGTCCTGCAGCACAATGGATAGAATTGCGACGTTCCGAACCAACTTGCTGTACACTTCTGCACATATACATGGAACTACAAAAGGCCTCATTACATGGAACTACAAAAGGCCTCATTACATGGCACTGCTCGAACCTATATTCTGGCTGCTATGTTGGGGAAATGTCTAAGAAAAGTAGAAACAAAGAGTAACATGGAAGTAGAATTAAATCCATTGAAATTATTTACAGTAACTACAAGTCCATCCATTACATCGAAGTAAACATATGGATTGCATCGAGGTAAACATAACTATTTACAGTAAGCACAGTATGTGTGCCCACAGCATATACCCAGATAGCAAGAACCAAAGCGGTATGTCTGACCCCATAGGCAGAATGGAAAAGTTACAAAACATTTCATTGTAACATATTGTACATATTTGTACATAATTCTTTACACATACCCAGTTCACCTCCGTTCGGTGTGATTTCATGTCACTTGTCAAATACTACAATACTATCATATCCGCCTCCCTAGGTCAGTCGCTCAATGGCCTCAAACGCAAGTCAGTTCCAATCCCCCTCGCCTTGGCCTGCTCTGCCAGCATCCGCCTCACCATCTGCAGCTCAGCACTCGCCTGAAAGTCGTCTCTGGCTTGGCTTAGTGGCATTTGGCCAACTTCGCTTGGTCAAATAAACAGGTCCTTCCGTGCCTATTCTCTTGTTGCCAAACTCTGCACGGCATTGCATTCTCAACTCCCTTCTTTCCGCGAGGACATCTGGAATCTGGCATGCTTGGTTCTACTAGAACCGCTGGCCCGGCAGACTCATGCAAGCAACAAAGTTCAAAAGGGTCTGCCGGGCGGACACTTGTGGTCACTAAGAGTTGATAAGCTCTCGCAAGGCAACTGCTCATCGCGAAGCATTGTCACTTCGGACGATCAGTGGAAAATAATTGCCTTGGAGGTGGAAGACGCTTGACTCTTAAGAGAGCATCTTTGAGCTTTGAATTTGGCACGAGGAATGGCACGAAAACAAAAGCCATCTGCGGAAACATCACGATTCGTTTACAATCAGTCACTAATCATTGCATAAACTCTGCTTTACAATCTTTACAGGGAAAATTAATGACGATTCATTACCCCTCAACAAATGCATTCAAACTGGTCCGCAGCAATGGCCGCTTGCATATACCACCCAATGCAGGCCTCAAAACTGCTCAGATCGTGGTTCGGATGAACCTCATGAATGAGCCTCTCATTGGGATATCAATCCTCAAGAAGCCAGCTTTGAGGCACGAATCAACTCGTAGGCCGAGTTGATCTTGATAAACTTCTCCTTGTCTCCACCTTTGTCAGGATGCATTCTCTTTGCAAGATCGAGATAGGATTGACGTACTGCATGGTCCGAAGCCCCTTCCTTCAAGCCCAACTCCTCATAAGCCTTCTTCAGGGCCCTCTCTCGGTCTGTGCCAAAGATGCCTTCAAACGCAGCCTTCACTGCCATGGTGGTCAATCCACTTGCCATCAAAGCACCAGCAACACCTGCAAACAGGAGCCCCCAGGGACCAGCGCCAGCACACAAGGCTATTGCACCAGCTCCACCTGCAAATCCAGCAGCAGCGCTGCTAAAGGAGGTGGTTAGGTTTTGAGCGCATGTGTAGCCGTCAATCTCCCCCTTCCAATACTTTCGAACTTCGGAATACAGTTCATAGCCCAGGAGGCCCACTGAGAGGACAAGACCTGCTCTGGAAGCGTATTTGCACACAGTTGACGCAGTCTGCATCCTTAGTGCCACCTGCTGGGATACTGTGGCCGAAGCTTCAGCCTCACCAGACAGCAAGGAAAAGAAGATGGACTCCACAACGTTTCCGGAATTCCTGGAGACGATGGACGCAGCCTGACTCACCTCTGAGACAAATGTGAGAATCATCGCACGATTCATCGCCTGGACTGAAGCTCTCAGAACAACAGTCGAGGCTGCTGCAGCACCTAACGTAACCCCTGCTGTTGTCCTTTTGATACCATTACAAATGGCCACACTGATAATGCCAGCTTCCTCAAGACGCAGAAGTTCTGTTCCCCAACGGTCTTTGCACTCCATCAGCATCTTCTCAGCCTCGTCTGGTGTCAACTCACTGTCTGCTGTCAAACCCTCATCACCTCCTCCTGGCGGCAAGGCTTTTTGGATCATTCCAGTGACATACGCTTCCATCACCGCAGGAGGAAGGTCTTTGATCTTGGCGAGGCCTTGGTAATACAAAGGGTCGGTGACCAAAATCACCATGATTTTGCCCAACGTCTCTGGATCATTCTCTGCATAGAGCTCCATCAACTTGGTATCAACTGCATTTTTCTCCTCCGGGCTCACTTCATCAGGCCTCGTCATTGTCATCCTCAAAGTCATGGCGTGGCTTGGAAACAATCTGGAAACAAACACCTGAATAACTTGGGCACAAATGCCTCAACCGAGCCGACACTCCAATGAGACAGAAAAGCTGGCATAATTCATAGAGGAAACCAGCTGACAGTGTCCGTTTTCTCAACTGCCTTTCCGCGAGGACATCTGGAATCTGGCATGCTTGGTTCTACTAGAA